GGGGGCTCGGGAAGCCAGCGGGGAAGGGGAGAGAGCTACAGGCTCTGATTTGAGCTGAGGGATCTGGTGACCCTGAGGTGACTTCGGCCACGTCCTGGAGCCCTGTACCCCTCTGCATAGGTTTCCACACGTGCCACACCCCAGAGCCTCTCTGGGACAAGCAGCTGAGCCACGTTACTACGGGGCGTGTGCGTGGGGACCAGCCAGGAAGGGAGGGGGATGAAGGTGCCAGGAGAATTTCTGCTTAGATCCCCTGGCCCACCCGGCCACGGCTTCTCCCTGGGAGGGCAGGCGACCCCGGGCTGGGCTGAGGTCAGGGTGCCGCAGCCTGACGCTCCAGTGCTAGCTGGCTCCAAAGACTCCTAATAGGGACCCAAGGGGGAAGGCAGGGAGGGCAGGAGGAGGCCAGCGTTGCCAGGGAGTCCAGGAACCAAGCTGGGGACAATTAGCTCCCTGCTGCCGAGCCTGAGCCTAAGTTCTACTGCACATGTGGGAGGGCTCAGCCACAGACCGCTCCCCAGGCTGGAGGCCAATCAGTGGCCTGGACAATTAGAGCAATGGCCCAGGGTGACCCAGAGCAAGAAAAGGCTGCAGAAGCCCCCCTCCACCCCCCGACACCTGCCGATGCTCGGGCCCCGCTTGACATCCTGCACGCAGTAGCTGTTCAGTTAAAACCAGTGGGGATGAGCTGCCCGGTGTCTTGAGACCCGGAGCCGGTGGAAGAGGAAGGGCCCGTTTCCCGAGAGCCCTGGGGAATGAGGGTCCTGGTCTTCACCCCACTCTCCAGAGGAAGAAACGACGGCTCAAGAAGGAAGTCACTTGTTCAAGGTCAAGGGAGTCACGGCCAAGGCTGAGATTCAAACCAGAGCCAGCGCTTTTTCTTCCCTTAAAAAGAAAACACGTGTTATGTTTTTATTATAAAATCAGGATTACCACTTGATTTTTTTTTTTTTCGATACAAATGACTAAAGGCAGGAATTTTTTTCTCCTGCTTCTTTGGCTTTCGGTGTGTCTATTACAGAGAGGGAAAGGGGGAAAAAAAAAAAAAGGAGTGGATGTCTCTTGTATACCTGTGATAAAAATGGAATTTTCTTGTCCACTTTCAAATTGTGAAAAATTTTAAACATCTACAAAAGTAGAGGGAAGGCGCTGATGAAAGCCCCTCCAGCAGCCCAACTTCCCCTGTCCCAGCTCACGGCCACATCCGTCCCATGGACTCCCCGGCCCTCCCCCTTCCCCTAGAATATTATAAAGCAAATCCTGGGCCGTTTTGTTCCATAAATGCTATTGTAGATGAGGATCGTAGACAACGTCTCCTTTTAGAACAAAACCCATCATCATCGTCATGCCTAAAAACGTCAACAGCCCCTGCACGTCATGAGACACCCGGCCAGCCTTGCAGGTTCTGGGACTGCCATGTCATTTCTGACACCCGTTGGTTTATTTGCTCCAGGATCTAAATGAGGGCCCCACGGTGGCAGG